AAGCATAACTAAACCCACCAAAGAAACAAGAATTCTGTATTAAAAATGCCCAGAATTGATGAAAAATGCTTAAGAACCTGGCCTAGACATTGTGAAAAACAATGAAAAGAAAATATTAAAAAAAAATAATTATGAGAAAAAAGGTGAGAAGGTAAGGTAGCTCAGGATTGGGATGGGAGAAATAATGCAGTCTAAAAAATTCCCATATGCTCTATTAACACCAAAAATTCTGTTTGCAATATTACCTTTCCTCTTAACACAGGGACCTAAAAGTATGATACTCAGTACTATAACAATGCTTTCACAAACTGTTCATAAGTGAAATAAAGCGAAGGAAAGGCAGTATGGGGCAAGACTAACATAAACCAGATTGCAGGATCTTGTAGGAGTTAAAAATTAGTGTACAAATAACTGATAGCAAAGAAGAGAAAATAAGAACTACAAAAAATGATGTGAGCTCAGCAAATTGTTCATGTTTTAATTATCAACAAAGATAATTTCTGATTTTGATTATACAAGCATTATAATTACTGATAATTGAGCCTCTCAGCTTTTAAGTGGAGGGAGACCATGCACATGGATGTGCAAAAATCAAAACCTAAAAAACAAAGTGAATTGAATAAAGATTCTAATTCCAATTTATATCTAATAATTTTGATGCTGCTTGGTACTATGAAGTGTTGTGGTAAGAAATCTACTTGGTAAGATGTATCCAGGATCTCGTTGCATTGAAAGAGCTAATAGGATATGTAATGGAGCTGTGCTGTCCTGGTAAGCTTTGTTTCTCAAAGTCGTGAGGCCTTTTAAGAACACTAGAAACATCCAGGATAGTTAGTACCAAAGACAGGAAGATTGATTTTTCTAGATTCCTAAAAATCATATTCATTTATATATTTATCATGCACAAGGAAGACATATTAACAAAACGTCTTCTAGATTATGAGCACCTTCCTTATCCAGGATACCTCAAGCCTCCAGCACAGGAGTTCCTTCACTTGTGAAGTTGAGAGATCATGGCCAAGAGTACATACTGTTGATTCCAGGAAGACAGCCATCCCTACAAATCACAACTAAATAAGACTAGATGCAGCACGTGTGATTTTGTGAAAGATGTAAGACACTAGAAGTACACCATCTAAAATAATGCTAAGGAGAACACTATTCTATGGAAGTCAAAAGTCTTAGAGGGAAAGGGCAAAAGCAAGGACACTTGTTCTGTCTATAGACAAATGGACAGAGAGGACAATGGCAGTTACAGATGTTCAAGGAAGCCTGAAAAATGATTTAGAACGTAGGGGTAGTTGCATTAAATGATGAAAATAAATATATACTGTATAGATGAACCAAATCATTTATATCTTATAAATTTTTAAGTTTCTTTGGTAGCTTGGATGATCCTATAAATGGGAATCCCTGTAATTCTGAACATAATGTTTTGTATGAAGTACTTTTTGAGTCATAATAAGTAGCAACCAATATGGGAATTACTTATCCATAAAGAAAATAACATTTTTCTTCTAAATCCAACCTCAGGGAAAATATATTAACCCTGAGTCATAAAAATATGTCATTATTTTTGTGCAGAAAGTCGTATTAAAACAATTATGGCTATTATACAATCATTACCACTATTTGGGATAATATACATTGGCTAGAAAAGCAGGCAACTTGAAATTATATATTCAGTTTATAGCAAAGTCTCTAATGAACGCTAAATAAATCAGAATACAAATTGCAGTTAAACCTAATTGGTTTACTGTAAATTTTTTGTATCTATATTTTATCTACCTTTGCTTCTATAGATTCTATTGAAGGCAGCATGCTAGTGAACACCCCAGGGGCTCTTTCTGCTTTTAGATAAATCTGAGTTTTAGTTCTGGTTCTGTCACTTACTACTTTCACTTTGGATAATTAGCTGAACTTTGTGTGTCTGATTTTGTTTTGTTTCTCTCATCTGTTATGTCAGGTCAATAACCTCTACTTACAATTTGGTTTGAATATTAAAAGGTATTATGTAGGCAAAATATTAGTTCCTATTAAATGGAGCCTAATGATCATGATTTTTAATTTTGTTTTATTACAAGTGTGTAACATTATACATATGAGAGGGCTTTTTTTTAAAAAAAAAAAGGTACTTTGGATGGAAAATAATTTTCAATTAACTGATTAAGGATTTCTCCACATTTATAATATCAATATAAAAACTTACATTTACATCATACATCTTTTTTCAGTATCCTCAATTGTCATGCGCAGGCAGAAAAGGAGGAATAAAAAAAAATCCAGATTTTTAAAGTGCACACTCAAATATGTCAAACTTATTTTACTTATTTTCTAGTGTCCAGGGGTGGGGCATGAGATAAGACAGTTGGAACTTGATATTAAAGAAGTGAAACTCATGTGAATTTACACTGAGAAAACGTCATGTCTTCCAATGTGAAGTACACTAGAGCCTGACCCAGTGCCTCTTAAATGTGTGTTGACTGGACCCTCCCAAAAAAAGCATTGGGAAAGAGCGTAGGGATAGGTCAGGACAAGTTTATACCCAATATTGTATTCTTAAATTAGTGAAGGTATATTTAAGGTTAAATTGTGAAAAATATGAGCTGCTAGTTATCACAAGTAGAAAAATACTTAAAGTAGCCAGTGATCATGAATTATTTTAGTGCCCTGGTTGATAACCTCCCTTCTTTACCATTCCCCAGTGGGGGAATGGGACTAAAAGGAATTTTAATGGTGTACTCTGATTTTGCTTCATGACATCACTGATCACTGCAGACACAGAGGCCAACTATACCGCTTCCTCTAGACTATGTGAATGTTCTGAGCTGATATTCTCTTCTCGGTCTTTGAAAGATTCTCTTAAAGCAACAAATATTCTTACAAGTTCAAGGGGGTGGAGAGTGTGAATGACTAGAAGATTATTTTACCCTGGAACGATTCTCAATCCTGTATGTGAGTCTCTGTCACTGTTTCAAGTGTGTTCTAAATTAATTTTCAACATTTAATATAGGAATTAATATGTGTGCATATTTGTAACTTTGTGTAGAGCTGTTGCGAGGCATGGCTATATACATATCGTGTGCTTTGAATGTGCAATTTTACTTCCCTTTCTTTTTTAACATTTTAATATACAGTGTTAGAAATTTCTAACAAGTTAATGAAGATGACCAAAAACCAACAGAACAAATACGAATTGGTTTTGAACTGACAAAAACCTCATTAGTAAGTAAATAAACCTCCTTCCATGGAGGAAGGCACTGGAATGCACCCACCAGCTTGTCTCTACCAGCAGGTGACAAGAAGGACTAAAGCCGTGGGCCCAAAACCCCACTATCATTACTTTGCTGTTTATTTCCCCCTGGGATCTGATATGTATATTAATTTAAATATGTATCCTCAGAGAATTGAAGACTTTTTGGAAATGTTTAAGATTCGAGAGCTGCTACACAATTTATGATGTTGCATTTCTTATGAGTCAGAGCTGAATACAAAAGGACTAATAATATGAAAGTAGCTCATTCAAGACTCAAAACTGGGCAAAACTAAATTAAAACAGCCATACACTGCCACATTTTGCCTAATTTATTACCTATGGTATTGGCACAAGTTGCTTTATTTCATATTTAAAAAATACAAATTCCTCTTCATCTGCAAACAAAATGAATGCTAAATGAAATATGGGACTTCTTATAGCTTCCTAAATATGAGCCACATGCTTAACCAGTGCATAAATTTTACAAATCAAATCTTTAATGTTAACTATTACAAAAGCTTGGCGTCCAGGTGCAATCTTATAGGAAATAAGATAGCATCTGCCTCCACTGCAGTTAAAAAAAAAATGAACAGCAAATTCCTTTTGACATCTTAAGAGTAACATCACTTCAATAATCAAGGACTAAATGTTTTTCATTAATCATACTCTTAATTTAAACTTCAGATTTACTATGTAAATACTTACAACTTTAGCCATAAGGCACAGATTCTTTCTTGTTTAAAAGTACTGTATTACTCTAAATGGTATTTATAGTTCTGAGTGCACAGTAACTATCATATGCCTGAATATTCAAAGCTGATTCAGATTCTCAGATGTTTTAACATCGTTATGAAAATGAGAAACTGCTAAATTAAACTGGCCGGCAATGTTGCAGACCTCTTGCTATCGTGTGATTAACTATGCCTACCGTTCCCAAGTGTGTATACAGAGTTAACGTGCAGTCTCCAGTTCTAGAAACCTTTTCTAACAGTCTCCAGTCTCCCTGTTATGTTCCCAGGCAGGAGGAAGTCTCACCAGGAGGGGGTGGGATTGAGGTGCTGCCACTCCCCACAGCGTGAAGCATTTCAGCGGCTGGGGGAAAGGCCTGTTTGGATTTCTGCGTTTTGCTTTTGCATTTTAGGGAGGGGCGAAAAATGACAGAACTGAGAGGGCTCAGTATAAGCACCTCTCCCTCTTAGCTTTACTCAGATCACTCATAACAGTAATCTTCTGACCACTGTTATGTGTTGGGAAAAATTAGAATTCGGCTTATTTGTCAGCCTGTCAACCACGATTCCAGGAAATTCCATTTTGAAGTCTCAGTATGACAGTGAGTCTAGACTGAGTTCTGATTAAAATAAATCCCTGGTTATTACTTTCTGGATTAGTAACGAAAATCCTTATAAAATCAGTGAACGTAGCTCATTGTGAGGAGTCACTTAGGCTTTTAATTTGATTTACATATTAAGTAAGAATTCTGAAAATTATTTGAGGGCTCTATTCTCTAGCACCAGGTACTAATGACCGTCCTCAAAGAAATCACGTGCATGGATTAATCAAATCTAACAGTGCTCAGAAATAATGGTTTAAAATGGAGGGTTTTTTTTTTTTCAAATTTATTTTATACATGCAAATTTTTTTATGCAGTTAGTTGCATTTTCAAATTAAGATCATTCTCATTTTCACCCATGTTCTTATCTTTAAAATTCACATTGTAAAGTAGTATGCAGATATAACACATTTCTTCATTCTCTATGGATTTATTTTTAAAGTTAAAAAAAGTGATAATATTCTTTTTGAACTTACTTGTCTTTTGTTCGCTGGGACTCTGTGCACGTGTGTACATAGAGGTGTGTGTGTGTGTGTGCATGTGCACACCAGAAGAAAATTCATTTTCCTTCAATTCTATTTAACACTAAAAAATGATATTTGGACAGGGTATTCTTATAGGATTAAACATACACCTTCTAACTACTTAAACCAGTGGTTTGGGATTCAGATCTCTATAACCAAGACTGGAAGTCACTGGAAGACTTTAAAATTATTTTAACCATGACAACCAGAGTCATGTATGGAAATAAACCCATTGCATGGATTCTTTATAGGCATAATCTCAAAACTGGACTATCCAAACAAGTGTTAAAAAATAAACTTATAAAAATTTGCCATTGAGGAAAATCTCATCTCCATCCTTCGTTATGCCTCATTTCAAGTAAAAACTTCCCCAATATTTTGAAAAAAAAATACTCCTAAGAAAGTCATAAACACTGAAATCAGAGATGTGATTCTTGTTAAATATTAGTTTCTCTTTCTGAGGAATTATTCTCTGTTCTTGTACTTTTGACGTTAACATCATGATGGTTAGATTTGTTCAAGGGTTCAGACTCTCTGGACTCAGGTGTATGCAGTTTCTTCTTCCTTTCTTCCTCCTCCTTTTCCTTTGCAAGCAATCTGTAGTTTATAGCATTGCCGATCAGCAGCCACACACTTGATAGGAACACAATAGCCCCACAGGCTATATACATGTATTTATACTGTCCAGTTTGATCCACCAATTTCCCTAAGAGACAGAGAACATCTTTTAAGACAGCATAATAAAACAGCCCTAAAATGATAACATTTTCCAATAAATTCTTCCACAAAGTATGTACCCATTTCTTATTTAAGTTAATATTGAATGAGTTTTTAACAAGAAATATTCTAGATTATGAATTCTCTGTATGCATAAAAAAGGCATATATGCATACACAGCATTATATTACCAGTATATTAAATTTATTAAAGATTATCCCCCTCAATAAAAATGTACAACCAAGACAAAATAGGTATGTACCTGTTTGTGTGTATATTCATAAGTACATGTATGTGTGAAGCATGTTTTTTGTATCTATGTGTATATAAACAGATATATTTATTAACTTTTATACATTGAGACTGCTTCATCCTTTCCATGCTTCTTTTCAATAAAAAGGAAAAAAATTACATTTTTTTAGGAAAGACCCAAAGGCTTATTTAAGGTTCTGACAGGGCATAATATTTACTCAATGCTTTTTCTATGCCTATCACTAGGCTAAACATTTTTTTTTTTAAGATTTTAATTTATTTATTTGAGAGAGAGAGCAAGAGAGAAAGCATGAGTAGGAGAAAGGGGCAGAGGGAGAGGGAGAAGCAGACTCCCTGCTGAGTAGGAAACTCAATACGGGGCTCAATCCTAGGACGCTGGGATCCTGACCTGAGCTGAAGGCTGAGGCTTAACCAACTGAGCTACCCAGGTGCCCTTAGGCTAAACACTATTAAATGAGGTAATATCTTATTTAATCCTTACAAAATCACTATGAAGTAATTTGATCATAGTTACATAGCCAGTGAATGGCAGAATCTGGAATCTAACCAAGGTATCTGAATCACAGATTCTTTTCTTTTCTTTTTCTTTAAAGATTTTATTTACTTGACAGAGAGAGACATGGCGAGAGAGGGAACACAAGCAGGGGGAGCGGGAGAGGGAGAAGCAGGCTTCCCGTGGAGCAGGGAGCTCGATGCAGGGCCTGATCCCAGGACCCTGGGACCATGACCTGAGCCGAAGGCAGACACTTAACGACTGAGCCACCCAGGCGCCCCTGATTCTCAGATTCTTTTTTTTATTATTATTATGTTATGTTAATCACCACACATTACATCATTAGTTTTTGATGTAGTGTTCCATGATTCATTGTTTGTGCATAACACCCAGTGCTCCATGCAGAATGTGCCCTCTTTAATACCCATCACCAGGCTAACCCATCCCCCCACCCTCCTCCCCTCTAGAACCCTCAGTTTGTTTCTCAGAGTCCATCGTCTCTCATGGTTCATCTCCCCCTCCAATTTCCCCCATTTCACTGAATCTCAGATTCTTAACTATTCTTCAAAAGAGCTTCACCATACCTCTTGGTTAAGAGTCATATCATAACTTTTTGGGCTAATCACAATTTTTTAGTTTATCCAAATCTAAATTATTAAGGCCACACTAATCAGGAAGAAAGTATTTATTACATTTGATTATTTAGACATTTAAAAACTAGCCTGATATCATATAACCTGAAGATTTATTGACCCCCCCTTTTTTTTAGAGAGTGAGAGTGAGCCCTGGTGGGGGGACGGGCAGAGGGAGAGGGAGAGAGGGAATCTTAAACAGGCTCTATGCCCAGCACGGAGCCCAATGTGGGGCTTGATCTCACAACCCTGAGATCATGATCTGAGCCAAAACCAAGAGTTGGACGGTCAACCAACTGAGCCAGCCAGGTACTCCGGTTCATTCACTTTTAAAAATATTTCAGTTTATACTTAATTTTGCCTCTTGCTTATGCAGGCACCTAATTTTTAACAATGATGGTGTATGCAAATCCACATTATTTATTATATGCATATTTGAGGTGATTCTGATATAGCCCTGTTTCTTTAATCAGAATCGCATTCATTCTGGCTAGAATCTAGTTAGTGGCTCAGTATTAAATTCAGCTACTTGTGAAACTGCCTATTTGAACAAAGTTCTCTGTTTTAATCAGTTAAATGGTGGAATAGGCTTATTTGAGTGTGCCATATACACACACATAACAAAAATGCATAATTTAAATTTCTATTCTAGCTTTAGTCAAATATTTTTATTCATACAATGATTGTTACACCTCTAAATACATAAACATTAGGTCTATGGCCCCATCAGAGTTACTATCACTTTGGGCTGCCATATCAACATACTTTCTAAATGTCTGGGGAATTTTTTAGCATCATCAAGAAGCCAGGTATGATTTCCAGAACTAAAGCTTCAGCTCTTGTGAGTGCAGCAGTGAAAGTGTGAGTTGAAAAAAATAAAACTAAAAATGGTACTATATCTTCCACTGCTCTGCTAACAAGAGTAGCAGCCCCAGCAACAGTGTGAGAAGTAACTACAATGGTACTCATTTACCGAGTGCCTACCATGTGCTGGACACCATTCTATCAGTGATCAGATGCTACAGAGAAGAAGCCAGTCCAAAAGTCAAGGAGGATCAGGGATAGCAGGAGACAGAAACAGGATGAAAAAAAAAAAAAAGGACTTATTATGGCTACAGCCTGAGAGCTTCAACAAGGAGCCCCAAATTGATTCCTGCCTTTGCCACTACTGGTGCAATGGTTTGGCAATATTAACACAAGAAGCACTCAAGAGCACTGAAACCTATATAAATGTTATTAATACAGGTTCTCAGCACAGGTAGGAATAGTCAAATCAGATTCCTTCATTTTCATCCTTAGAGCCTGCCCACTATGTCTGTTGACCTGACTTAATTTTTTTTCTAATCCCACCATCACTGGTGAAATACAATTTTCTCTGTTGATACTAAAAATTTTGCTGCTAATGAATAGGCTTCTAAAACACATTTGGTAAAACTCATTCTGTAGGAAAAGATAGGTCAGTTGTAGTTGTCTTATGCAACAAAATCAATTAGCTGATAAATAAGACTGATTGGCTTTCGTTCTTCTTGAAAACTGTTTTGGTGCCATAGTATATCCAATATTAAAAGATACACCACCCAAAACATCTGTGCTAGATACAAAAGGACAGCCCTGGTAGATAGAAAAATTCAAACACTATGCCATTCCTGACCAAGTGAAAAAGCAAGGCAAAACGTCAATGATACCTAAAGATCAATAAATTAAATACAAATTTTCCCAATTCAAAGTGATTTCTTGATGTATGGAATTGTTGAATCACCATATTGTACACCTAAAATGAATGTAACACTCTCTGTTAACTATACTGCAATTTTAAAAAGTGATACCTTGATGTTATATAGGGAAACAGTTTAAAAACTGGAGAAATTTACATTTAGCCTGGCAGTTACTGTAACCACTAGGGGTCAGGCCAAGAGCCTAAGTGAATACCTAAGTTTAGGAAAAGACTGGCCCACATAACGTTTTTGATATTTATAACATTAAAGTCTAAGACTGAACAAAGTCTTAACTTGAAAAATGCACTTATACATGTGTCGTAATCTCCTTACTGTGTAATTTAGCACAGATACTTTCATAGGCATCATTGAAAATATTTCAGATCTTAAAATCTATAAGTAATCATTATAATTTGTAAATGTGGAATATATCTGTTCAAAATGAGTTTCTTTTCCTTACTGCATTTCATATACATATATATGGGTATATATGTACATATATATGGGTATAAATATATACATATATTTCTGTCGGCAATATTATAAAAGTATGTTATCCTTAGGCATGCAACATATTAATATACCCAATGTACTCCAATAAAAAAATAGATCCTGACCTTTAGTAGCATTATTTTAAACTTTTGACTTATTTTAATATAAGCAGAAGAGAAATTTGTTCATCAATGATAAAATGAAGAAAAAGTGGAATTTTATTATTATGACACATTTTTTAGAAGCATAAAACAATGGATATGGGTAAAAACCTGAAAATTATGTTACTAATTATCAGTCTAACTTAATTTCTTAAGTTCATAGGTCCTGGCTCTGAAGGAAATTTAGGTCTAAAATCAACTATTTATGAAATTTAAAAATACATAATAAAACCTAAAATTAACATACCCACAGTCTTTCAGGCTATTAGTATTTATTATTATAAGCCACAACATACACTACAAAGAATGTCCTGGCTAGTTGATATTCATTTTATGCTTTTTGCTTTTCTGGATGAGAATTATTCTTACCAGCAAGAGGAGGACCAAGAAGAACGGGGCAACACTCCACCACTGTGACAAGTCCTACAGCGCTGGAAAACCTTTGAGGGCCAACCAGGTCCATGAGAGTTTCAAAGAGGACACTGCTAACACTCCCAAATCCAAGACCAAAAAATATAGCATATAACACCAGGCTTGTGTAGTCCTCTGCCAGTGGGCACAAGAGATGGCACACTCCATTGAACATGACTGCAAAACTGAAGAAGTACTGGATTCGGGGGCGGATAAGTCTGGAGTTTGCAATGAGTCCTCCAGCAGGTCTAGCAAACATATCAACAAAAGCCATAATAGACAGCAAGAAAGCTGCAGAATATTCATCAATTCCTTTGTCCTTAGCATATGGAGCCAAGAATATAATGGGGGCAAAAAACCCTAGAAACATAATGACATTTCCAGATAAATATATCAGAAATCCCCTATGCTTAAAAAGGGAGAAATCTAAATACGTATTGACTTTCTCCCATGCTGATTTCTTCTTATGGCTTTTCTTCACACCTGAATCATCCACTCTTATGCCAATCTTATTTTTAGACTTATTGGTAACTTGTTTGGGTTCAACAGGTCTCATGAGGGACCCAGCCACACAGGCATTCAACAGGATACCTCCCAAAATCAAGAAGCTTCCTTTCCAGCCAAAAGTATTAAAAAGGTACTGATTGAAAGGAGCCAATGTGCTTAAGAAAACAGGACTTCCTGCCATGGCAAGGCCATTAGCCATGGGTCGTTTCTTATAGAAGTATTTGCCAATGATCGTTAGGGCTGGTTGCAGGTTGAAGGCTAGACCTAAACCTAAAAAGAACAGAACAAAAGGAACAAAAACACAAACACATTATGACACTCACAAAAGGAATTACTCCTTAAAATGTACATTCAAGTGGGGAAGGCAGAACTAAAGTGGCAAAAGCAGGTAATAATTTTTGATAATTTTAAATATCATGGAATTGTGCATAAACAGAGGTTCTCACAACTGGACACTTGATATGTATGACAGCTTCATATTCCTTTCATGTGAAAGCAGAAAAATGAAATCAAGAACATCTACTGATGTTTCCATAATCACAGAACAGGATGAAATTATTAGTTCTTAGTTATAATCACTTAATACCACAGATAAATTAATCCTCTCTATTTACACAAACATATTTACATGCATTATACTTATATACGCATATATAGAATAGATTCCTCCTTTGTGGGCAAGAGTGCATTTAAATGGGAACACTGTTTTTAAGAGTGGAACAGAGTGAACAGATTAAAAAGGTTGCTGTTTATGAAAATCTTAGGTCTCTCCAGAGATATTTCTTTCAGAACTGTGCAAATAATAAACGAGTAATAAATTAATACCATTAATGTCAGGCTCTACATCTTTCACATTCCATAGTTCATGAATATAGATGCACATGTATGTTGACTAAAAAATAAAACTTTTGCTTTAAACATTTTATTTCAGAGATTAAAACTCATTCTTTATATGATTCAAAGGTTCCTACTATTCCTACTGATTCCAAGGGAATCCCTTGGCAGTGCTGAGTATCACTTTTGAGAGATGAATTATTTCTTATAGCTTGCCAAAGTATTATTTAGCAATAGTAATGATTAAGTTTGCTTATAAAGCACATAAAATTGATTTAGATAAGGTACCTCTCTTTCCCCTTTAGCCTAGGCATTATTCTGTATTAGTTTAGGGGTTATAGAAGTAAGAATTCTGCATTTACCAATTTATGTAAATTGAGACAGTATTGCCAAGTGGTTAAGTATTTAGACTCAGGGACAACTCAGTTCTCAGTACAAATACTTATTGCAAACCTTTGATACTAATATTTTCTATGAGTAGGAGGGTCCCTAAAAGCTGACACAAAGGAACCGAGAACATGCTTTGGAGAGTAACAGGGTAGTATGCTCTCTCATACTATCACAGCCCACACCTGTGAGACATGCAGAATAAGTGTAATTTATAAATAAGAAAACTGTCAGCCTATGCTCAGTGGCTTGTAAATGGAAGAATCCAAATTAAAACCCAGGAATTTTGTTTTGAAGGTCAAATTTCTTTACCTAATGCCACCCTCCCCTAACCCCTAGCCCCATTCGGTCACCTAGAATTTTGCCTTTGGGTGTTAATCCAATTTCTCCTTAGGAGACGGTGGCCATCTATTTCTTATTCTGACAGGGTAAAATGAACATGAGATTTGAAATCCAAAGATCTGAATTTGCCTCGACTATTTACCTATGTACAGTGTTGGACATAACACTTAGACTTCCTGAGTTCTAATCCCCTCAACAACAACAAAAGAGGGTTTTGCCAAAGTCAAGTAAGTTCTAGAACTGTAAAATGTTATATAATGACATATGATGATAATTATATGCTAGTATTTATTTAAAAGTAACAAAATTCTGGGTACTCTGTGAAGTACTATGTATTCATTTTTTACATGAATCATTCCAATGATTCCCAAAGTAAAGAGCTTATCATTTTCCCCATTTTAAAGACAAAGAACTGAGATATAAGGAGGCTAATTTACACATGACCAGCTAATATGTGCTAAATTAGGTTTAAAAATTAGACTGTCTACCAAAAAGTACTGGCTGATAATGCCTTAAGGTAAATCTCTCATGGTACATTTAATGGTTGACTCTAGAAGCACCAAAGCCTTCAAGACTCAAGAATTGAAGTTAGAATAACATATAATGCTGTTGAAATTTGTGGTACAGTAATAACAAAATCATCTTTTCCATAATGCATTTAATTGTGGGCCCGCCTGACTTCTATGGTCAAATATAATATGTAGTATTTCTGCACAAAGAAAGGACATTCTCTGCACTATGAAAATTCCTAGATACAAGATTCTCATTCAGAATGTCAAATGGTGTTTTACCACATCAAAAAGGAAGACAGTCATGAAGAGGTTGTAAAGAGAAAGATTTTAACATCATTATTACTCTAGGCTTTAATACATCTTATTTTTTTCATCAAATGATACCAAGTTCAAGGTTAGATTGATCTAAAATTACTTTCAAAAGAGAATATATTTACCATTTTTCTGTGAGCATAAGGAAATGATTCAGTTTCTTTATATATTAAAATCTAATTTTTCTTAAAATTTTGAGTGTAGATTTGTTTAATGCAGTTTATTGTTGAGATTAATAAAAACAGTGTTTTCCAAACGTACCTATTCAGGTAGGTTTGAGTCAACAGACATTACGCATGAGGAACAACTGTAATAGAATGACAGTATGACATTTAAAAACATGTGTTTAGTGGCATATGTGCCTTACAGAGCTTTTAAACAATTAGAATCTTTTGTAAGGAAAAGAAGGGACTCCAATACAGAGCCCTACCACTAACCAGAACACAGACAAAAAGAATTCTGTTAGAGCTAAATCAATGCATGCAGAAAATATCACTGGTATCATTTTTAACCTATAATGAATGATAAGTCAGATACTCTAAAAAGTAATAAGTAATAAAAATAACTTTAAAAAAATGAAGGTATTTATATGCCAGGAAGTCTGTGTCCATAATATCATCTTAACTGGCTGATGAATAAAGGGTGAAATGGTAAAACTACATCAAAATTGTTTTCTTTTTGACATTGACATCATAGCACCTAATGTATCTGATAACTTGTTTTTTCCATTTCTTGAAATAAGTTTGATTGGCTATTCCAAGCTAGTATTTCAGTGTACTAGATGAAAATACTTTAAGATAGTATCTGATATAAAAAGTAAACTCAAAGAAAACAAACGAATTGTTCTGCTGTTTATGCTTCTTACAGAGCTTTGCAAACAATGGAAGTGTTAAGAAGAGAATAAGCAGAAAACAAAACTTGACTTACCACAAATGAATCCCATCGTGAGGTAAAGCTCTATTACGTTGGTACTAAAAGAGGCTGTGACCATTCCCAAACAGCATAATAAACCTCCTACCATCACCACTGGTCGGCTACCATATTTATTCACCAGAACACTACTTATGGGACCTAAGATAGAGAGGAAATTAAGAAATATTCAGTTGCTGGGTCATTTACTTATTTTTAACAGTTGTTAATTTGGAAAGCACATTTTAATGACCAAAGAAAAATACTAGTTCACATAGAATATAATGAAGACTTTCAATACTTCCTAATCACTTTTGATTGGTTATCTTTAACCATATATATGACAGCACATAAAATCATAAATTAGAAGTGTTTAACATATAGTTTATGACCATAATCATTCAACTTTTGATGGAAAGGTTTTCAAAAGGACACAGCTATACTAGCCAAATATTTAATAAATGCAAGCAAATTTATGTAACAATCTAGAGATTATAAAAATGACTGTGTAATAATTTTATTTCCTAGAATAATATATGTGCACACACATAGATCCTCTTAGAGCTTAAATTGTTTTTTTCATTATACCACAGTATGATTTTTAATACCATATTTCCTTGATTCTAAGATACCAACATTTTCATATCTTATTATGTTAGAAATAAAGATGTCTCACACTTGAGGTCTCTTAACAACCCCTGTTCATCAGGTGGTAGTCATAGATAGCAATGTAGTGATCACCGCTTATGCTTGCTTGAATTTGGTTGTTATTTCTGTCGCTTGGTTGGACAATGGCAATTCCTCATACTTCAATCAAACCATTTAAGGGCCATTTGAAGAAGGAATATGAATATGAATCCTGATTATTGTCTAAAAAATCTTCTGTTGACACATTCTGATAATGTCAAGAAAGTACCAGCATCAAAACTTACTGAATGGGGCGCCTGGGTGGCTCAGTTTGTTAAGCAACTGCCTTCAGCTCAGGTCATGATCCCGGAGTCCTGGGATCGAGTCCCACATCAGGCTCCCTGCTCAGCAAAGGAGCCTGCTTCTCCAACTCTGACCCTCCCCCTTCTCACGTACTCTCTCTCTCTCTCTCATTCTCTCTCTCTCAAATAAATAAATAAATCTTAAAAAAAAAAAACAAAAAAACTTACTGAATGGGTAGAGCAGCTTAGATGAAATTACCAGAGAAAAAAATGGTGGATCTCTCTATTAAGATATGCTGTCTCACGGGCAAACAGAACAGTCTTATGTGTGAAACATGAACACTGAGAACTCGGACTCGAAAACTAATTTAGGAGAGCCAGATACTGAATGGGAAGAGGTTTTAGGAATGCTTTACTCAATTTATTTAATGTACATTTCCCAATGTATGTGTGTGTGTGTGTACATATAAAATATGCAAGAGTGATTAAAATGATTAAAATCATCTGTTTAACTATGTCTAAAAAAGCTCTTTTGGTAGTTATAAAATAAAAGTTCTAAATATTAATAAAGTGTGTTTTATTTTAATCACAGCATTTTTGTTTTTTAGTGGTGCATCATAAAATAATGGTGCAACTTAACAACTGAGGTCATCTTAGATTCAGTGAAAGTCCATACTATTTTATGAGACCTGTCAACGTGTAAATAGTTTAATTTGACACTTCCTTAACTTAAAATTATATTTCATCTAAAACAAGGGCCATTGCTTTGAGGGAAAAATATTACATTAGGTCAGAATTCTCAGTCCAATATTTAGCCTAGAAAAAAATTAAATGATTTTTAGTTAATACTATAACTTAAAAATTTGCTAAGTGTGATTGTACTGCATTTGAGAATTTCTACATGGATAGTATTTAAAATACATTGAGATTAATTTGTCAATACAGCTTTGTTCTTTCACACAACTGTAGTTATTATTTTTATTCCTTAAATATGTTTGAAATAAAAACTTCATGGCCTAATATTACTCCACAATATCTTTTTTAGGGAAAACATATTGGTAAAAAGACATAATTTGACAAAAAGAACTCAAAAATAGAATACCACTTTTGTATTTAATACCCCCCCCAAAAAAACTAAAAAGGGCCATATGAAAGACAGCTCTATAAAAACAACAGAGTTGGGGGTGAAAAATCAATGAAAATTGTACAAGATAATGTGAAAAGAATAGATTTCTGTCCTAATATGGTATAAACTCATATGATTTAGGAAATTAGCATTTTCATTAAAAAGCACATAGCTAAATTCAAATGGCCTTTGTGAGAAATGAATTGAGTAGCCTTGGTTAATTACTGAACTTAGGTGTGGGTTCCTTTTCTTAGAATTATTTAACCAGTTCACTTTACTTCAATTCAATTTAACTCAAATCAGTTCAATGCACTATTTCTTGAGCTTCTAGTATAAAACCAGTTGATACACAACAAGTATAAAATAATAAAAACACAATTATAATCATCAACCCATTATAATACAGAGGGAGAAAATATCAAGTTATTTTAAGAACTGTGATGGATGCTTTGATAAATACTAGACTATCAGAATTTATCAATTACTTGGACTAAATTTTCTCAGTACCATTGATATTATGTATACCATTTTCTATGTGATGCCTGGATAACTCACAAATGTACAAATTACTAAATTTTATAAATGCGTTTGCCTAAATGGTGTAAATTTAAATTTGAACACAGGTGATGAATCACAACTTAATTTGCAATGTGTGGCAAATAATTATATCTATAGTTCAGAATAACCACATCAAGGCTTTTTTTTCCACGACTGTGATTAAGAGTGGCCACTAAAGAAAACATTTAGAGGTGTTAATTTTTTTTTTTTTTGAGACTGATAATTTCTACTGTGGTATCAGTCAAGATGCAATGAGAGTTCTAATTTTAACAAATGATTTTACTTTAAATAATACACTTTAATTAAGTGATGATCTATAAGATAATCTATAAGGCATGTATTTATATAACTCATCTATAATCTTTTTTCTAGTAAAAAAAGATATACTTTTTAAGTTGATTTGTTTAGAAATAATCAAAGCTCCTTACCCCTTAATATGAAATGCTTATAAAATGTCATATAGAATATTTCTAGTTTGTAATAGTTGTAGATCTAACTGAAATTATGATACAGTACAAAATATAGTTATTTTGTAAAGAATCTTTAAATGCTTAACATTAGCTTGAGGAGGCATCTAACACTAGATATATAACACAATGCTATTCAACACCTCTCTTTCTCCAACCTATAAGCAGCTTGATTTATTGTATTAACAAGAAAGATGGAGTTTCAAGAAAATAAATTCTCATCACATGTGATTTTTGTTAAACATGAGCTAGCCTCACAGGTGTCCCTTGTTGATGAATCTTAGGCCTAATTATATTCTGAGGTCATTTATTCTTTTATCTATTAATTCAATCAGGATGGAAGCTTTTACTCAGCATGTTTTTCAAGGAATCATGATGTTTAATCATTAGTTAAGTCAAAAAACAAAATTCTCTACCTGCTGAGAGTTACATCTGAGCCCATGTCCAAATAGAGCAAAGGTGTACTGTTCATCCAAATACTTCGTTCTATTTGTTTGTCGAGTGGTTAAAAAAAAATGATGTGCAAGAATAATATTGTCTTATTTCTAAAAACGTTCACGGAAGTATCAGACTATATCTAAACCAGAATGATCTACCTACTGATTTCTTCTACTGAGCTTTGCAAAAATCTCAGAATTTTTAGTGTCCAGTTTAATAGTCACTTTCACGCTAGCTGTGAAGCTGTAAAGGAGGACTTCGTCAGAGAGCAGGGGAAGGATCACAATGTTGTCACCCATACTTCAGCTTCTTCTTTGTTTTTTGAAAGCTATTTCTGTCTTTTAATGGCTGTGGCTCCAATAACACTTATTCTGTTAAAGAAGCTTATGTGCATTCTTATACATTATAGGGAGTGTTTGCCCATTCTTAGAACTCCTGTTGCACTTATAGTTGGTCACACACACACACACCCCACAACACTTAATCCTCTTTCATTTGTTTGAGTCTTGTTCCTCCATCCTATTCTAAGCTCTGGTAGTTGCCATATATAGTGTTATTATTCTATTACTATTCATTAATTTATTGAGTTATTACTCTTTGTAGGCAGTGTGCTAAGAACTGTGCATGCATTATTGCATATGATTTTCATGGCAATCTGATAATTATAGCAATGTAACAGTTGATAAAACTGAGACATGCAAAGTGTTGATAACTTGTTCAAGGTCACAACAATATAAGTGGTAGAATGTGGATAGGAGCCCAGGGTCATCTGATTATAAAACTTGTACTTTTCACTACTGTGCAGAAAAGAATTAACATATCAGGTATGAGGCTTCCATCCTCAGAAAGGCCTGCTTGCAAGGCTGGCTCTTGGCTGGCACCTGGAACTTGGGGTTTCAGAAGTGTTTCCACCATTCCTTAACTGATAAGAGTGGCTCACTGTGCCTAAACCGTTTCACAAACAATGTGGTTTATGTTGAACATCTGCCTTCCTTCCCAGAGTGTGGACTTTTAGGCATGCCAAGACAGAGAATGCCTATATGACCAGCAACCCAACAGAAACCTTAAGCACTGAGTCTCTAATGAGCTTCCTGATAGACAACACTTCAGCTACGTTGTCACAACTAGTTGCTGGATTAACTCTATCCTTTGTGATTCCATTCGGAGTGGACTCTTGGAACTTTGCATCTGGTTTCTCCTGTACTTTGATCCATGTGCTTTTACCATTCCTGATATTGTTTTGCATTCTTTCATTGTAATAAATCATAGTCATGAAAAAGACATTGTTGAGTCCTGTGAATCTTCCTAGTGAATCATGAAACCTGAAAGCGGTCTTGAAATATCTCTTTTAATTTCGAGTTTTGCATATAGTTATAAGCAAGTGATTTTTTTTGTTAAATATTTTAAAAATATATGACCAACAATATATATGAACTGGTCTATTCCTTTGCATACTATTATTCTGTTCTGTAAACAAGAACTCATAGTGCTTGTTTTTCTTTTGTATATGGCATGAATACATGACAAATGCTGTGAGAAAATTTGGAGAATATGTTATGTAATAAACATTTCATAAAATATATTTGATCAATCTAAAAACATAAACTGGAATTGACTATCAATTTGAGGTATATAAAAATTTTA